AACAAATAATAATCTTATTATTAAATTTATTGAAATTTTTTATTTTAAAAAATAAATTATTTTTTTCTAAATTATAGTGAGCCGACCTACCAGCTCGCCAACCCACCCCTTGGTGAGGCGGGCCAAGGTCTACAGATCCATCATGACTATAACGGGTCAGCCCGCCCTGTCCCGCTTTTGACCGGCTAAAGGCGGGGTGGGCTGACCCGTTTTGCCATCCCTAACCCAAACCACTGGGTTACATCCAGTTCTCAACCAAATTACAGTTGAGTTTCACTAGATTGAATAGTTTGATTTACATAATCAAATTACAGAAAATCCAACTTGCACTAAGAACCAAATTTTAGTTCTTGAACGCAACCTGCAACCAAATTCCAGTTGCAGAACCAAACCTGCACCAAGAACCAAATTTCAGCTCTTGAATCCAACCTGTAACCAAATTTCAGTTGCAGAACCAGAACCCAATCTTCCATACACCAAGACAATACAAAATAGAATTGAAAGAATGAAGAAACTAGAAAAATCAAACCTAATTATGTAGATGTAGAAATCCCACTACATAATGAGTTTCTTCACAAGCAAGAATACAAAAATGCCTCAAGAAAGAACTTCAAAATTTTCCACTGAAAACAATGTACTTCTTTCTTTAAAAGATTTTTATTAATTGCTTGAATAATTTCTAAAAGATGTTTTTAAAACGTTGAAGCAAATCTATTTATATAGAGATTTTTCTAACAAACTGGTTTAATTAATCGATTAATTCGTATTTTAATCGATTTAAAAATCTTGATTCTAACGGTTATAATTGATGAAAATATCATTTAATCGATTAAAATGTTCTACAACACTTTCCAGAAATATTTTAACTGATACAAAAGCAGTTTAATCAATTAAAATGGTTACACAAAAATTCCTTAAGTGATTTTAATCGATTAATTCGAAGTTTAATCAATTAAAATATTGATAGAAGATTTCCAAAAACTTCTTAAGTGATTTTAATCGATAAAAACTTGGTTTAATTGATTAAAACATTTAAACATAAATTCATTAAGTGCTTTTAATCGATTAATTCAAAACTACATAAATTAAAATACTGATAGAACATTTTCTAAAACATTCTTAAGTGTTTTTAATCGATTAATTCAAAAATATATCAATTAAAATACTAACAGAAGGTTTTCCAAAACTTCTTTACTGAAAGTAATCGATCAATTTGAATATGTATCGATTAAAACAACGACAATATATATTTTAAGTGATTTTAATCGATTATTTTGAAAATACATCGCTTAAAAATATGTCGAAATGTTTTTAATCGATTTTAATCGATTAATCTGTACATATATCAGCTTAAATCCGATACTTAATAACATATTAATCGATTACAAAGATTTTTAAGAGGTTAAAAAGTTTAGAGACATTTTTAGCTCTTTCAAGTGATAGAACCTCATATAGTAGAAATTGATAGATGATTATACCTATTTTTAATATTTTCATACAAAAGTAAGTATACCTTAAGAGAGGAAACATGTAACTAAATATATATATATATATATATATATATATATATATATATATATATATATATATATATATATATATATATATATTCCCAAGACAAAGATAAAAAAGTGTTATAAAATTTCATGATATAACCTAAGCATTATAAAATTTAAATTATATAAATAATAATAAAAATTAATAGAAACAATCAATAATGATTTATAATAATAATAATTTTTTTTTATTTTTACCTAATCAAGAAAGACTTAGTTACTTTAGTGACAAAGGAAAACATGAAAATAAATAGTTTAAATATTTAATTTTATCATTTTAAAAAATTTAATTACTTTTTCAAGAAAAATGATGGGAATTTAACAGTAGAGGACAGCGTTTTATATTGTCAATTGGATAAATTTTTAAACTATACAAGTTTAGGATTAAAATACGAGAAAAAGACTTTAACAGTATAATTTGCACGAATTTAAAATTTAAAATAAAAATAAAAAATACAAGTGCTTCTTGTTAACTTTGAGGACCAATTTAATAAACTTTTGTAATTTAAAAATTAAACTGAATAATAATTTAAAAATTTAAAGTTAATTTTATCATTTTATTTATTTTAAGAATTAATTTAATCATCCAATACAATTTCAGGAATTAAATGAATTAACAAGGTCCAGTTTCAAAAAGTATTTCGCACTTTATTAATTTTAGGGACTAATTTCAGAAACGTGGTGAATCAATAAAGAATGATGTATAACCTAAAAGCTCCTCCCATGATTTTTCAAATTTAAAGGAAAAAAACATCCAATTTTAGATCATATATAATACAGTTGACTATCTATCATGGTGGTCCATATTTAAACAATACCAATCCACTTTTTATCATAAAAAATCACATTTATGAATTGCTTTGCCTTCACTGCGTACGCATGTGAATAGGCGTCTAATAAATGAATTGCATATTTTCAAAATATTATTTAACAACGTACAAAAGGCATCCCTTAGTTGGTATATGAATATGCATTTGCAAAATTAACTATATAATATTAACATTAATTTATTTTGAAACAATGTGATTTTTTTTTTATCTACCACAATAGTTTTCAACTCTAAATTTTATACCATTCCCAAATGTTAAACAAAAGATGTAACTCCATTCATGAATAGAAAATGAGAACCATATCCATAACTTTTAGATATCTACCTCGTATTTATTCACTTTGTCTTTTGATCCACCAAAACAAAATGAGACGGACTGCTATGTAATAGTTATAATGGACTGTACACCTTATTCCATTATTTTCTTAAAATTAATTTATTTGTTTCTTTTAAATAAATTTTTTTAATAAATATAATAATATGATTATCATTTGTTTGTCAATAATTATATATATATATATATATATATATTTCAAGTTAATAATATAAATTGACACATTATTTATTAGAAAATAATAATTTAGAAAAATAAAATTAAGATAAAAGTTATATAATAATAAATAGTAAATCAAAACTTGTAAAATCTCTACTTTTTATATGAAAATTTTAAACATCTGAAACGAAAATTATATATATATATATATATATATATATATATATATATTTTATAAAACTTCACTATATTCTCTTTGGAGTAATTCTCATACCTTTATTGTTTTTCTAACAAACTATATTATAATAAAAATATTTATTTTTATAAATTAAGTGGACTGCAAGTTGGCCTGTTCGCCTGATAGGTTGACAGATTTAGTAGGACAAGTCAAAACGAACCGATGAACTAAAAATATCAATCTGTCCTACCATATTTAACGGACTAGCGGACCGATCTGCTGGACCTGTCTCATTTTGTCATCTCTAATAGTTAGAGCTATCCAAATGGGCGGGCCAACCCAGCCTGTCCCGACCTTATGGACCTAATAAAAAATTTTGATATTCCAGTTTGACCTATATTTGAAAACATGGAAAAATTTTAGTCTAACTTGATCCTATGTTAGACTAACTGGTTAACTGGTCAATTTTGTCTTGATTGATTTTTTTTTTAATATTAACATATCTATACAAAATCAATTAATTAAAATTTATTTAAATATAAATAAAAAATAAATATATATTTTAAGATTTTAAATTTTATTAATAAAATTATTTTTTGTTTAAGATATAATGATTTAATATATAAATTATAAGAAAATACATCAATTCAATCTTAAAATAAAAATTAAAACTTACTCTTTATTATCATTATTTACTTTTAATAATTTATTAATTTAAAATAGTAACTAATATTAATAATTAGATCTTGAAATAAATAATTATTAAAAATTTATTCTGATATTTACTCTTAGAATAAGGGAATCATGGACAAATTAATATATATATATATATATATATATATATATATATATATATATATATATATATATATATTAATAAAATAATATTATTTTTAATTTTATTTAAAAATAATTTTTATTCTATAAAACATATCAATCCATAAACCTGAGTTAGCTTGGCCTAGACCTATATAAGCCATGACCTAAATAGGTCCAGAGATAACATGAATTTAGGCTAACAATATTTTAACCCAACCTATTTTTCAAATCTTTCATATCAATCCATGGAACTAAACTTATATTCACATCCTTCCTAATAACCAACAAATTTCATAAGAAGAGTACTCATTTTCATTACTTATTAAAGTAAAATTATAATATCTTATTTATCTTATGTTATTAAGTACTGTTTACTTGTACTTATATTTTACTTATTATATATCTGTAATAATGTAAATTTATTTGAATTTATATATTCAGAGTATTAGTCATTCAAATTAATACTTTTTAGAGAGTATATTTTATGTAATTGTATTTAAATCACATTTAATAATTTACTTTTTAAAATATGTGGATACTTTTTAGGCCATTACCTAAGACAAGACAAAGAATAACTATTATTGCCATCCCAAACTACAGATGCCATTATCGCTTATAAATAGTGAGTTGAGACTTCCGTTCACGTAATAAATTTTAATGATTTTGAAATTTGCCTGTCGCGATTCATGTTTTATAATGTTCGAAAGCTAACTTTAATTACAATCATGTTAAGTTCCGGCATTAATTCAAGTCTAATTATACTGAGATAAGCTATTACCACCATACAACCAATAGAAAACCTTGAACCACAATTCTCCTTAGTATGTTTCTTGAACAACTTTTTTAGAACGTTGCCACGAAAACCGCTAATCGGAAGATGGATTACATTAGCAATAGCAAGTAATTTATGTCTGACGCGCATTACTCATTTAAACCTCTCCACATCGGCTCTAATCTGTCATTTCGATGGTAAACATTGACTTGATCTAAAACACATGAGGATAACAGGACTTGTATGTATCAAACTAATGTCAATTTTTAATTTTAAAGTAATCAGTTTCATGCAATCTATTCAAAACAAGCTTGGCAAGCAAATGAAACATAAGATATCCATAAATTACTTCATCATGCTCCAGTTGCCTCAACCATTTCTTGTTCCACTGTGCTTGGGGTAACTGGGTAGTAATGGTAATGAAGTTCACCAACATCATCACCAGACAATTTCTTCCATCCATTTGGCCCCACATAGTACACTAAAATCATATAAATCTCCAAGTTAGTAAATCATATAAGATTTGTAGATATAAATTATGCATCAGCACCCAGTTATAACGATAATAAAATGAATATAAGAATATTTCACCCAACCAAGTTAGAGACCATGGATTATTTTCAGTTGTTCATTTAACTGGATATAATAAAATGCACATTATGTTTTGAGCAGCAGTGCTCCAGCAAATGGGCAAGTGTAGCTTCCGAGAGGTTATCAATTTAGTTATCATGCATTTGTTTGTGTAAATACTGGTGAGGGAGTGGATAGCAACAAAATGTGATAAACAGATATAGAAGCCAGTATGTAGATGTAGTGTAGCTGGGTTAATAATAGGGGAAGAAAGAAAGATACCGCTAGCAACTCCACCACTGGCACCATCACGAAATGTTGCGTGATAAATTGCTCTTCGAGCAAGTTCAGCAGCCTCTTCAATTGACAAGTCATATCGGTACCTAGTATAACAAGGAAATTGTCAACAATATAAGCAAAAGATCTATTTTAGATAGTTAAATAGAAAAGTTTAACTAACCCGCTGTCCAATACACCATAAGCATATGGCGACCCGGATCCAACAGAGAATCTAGTGCCTTTAAGTCTTCCACCTTCACTATCAACATAATATAGACCAGGTCCCTAAAGAGAGATTAGCTGTTATTATATGTAACACTATTGGACTAGCTGAGCATAATGTTGTTCAGTAATTTGATAAGTGAATTACCGTTTCATCCCATCCAGCAATCATGGTACCAACCGATAACCCCATTCCACGATAAGAGTATAAAATATTGGCGAGTAGCTTTGAGGCTCCTGTTACTGAAATTCTCCTTTTATTTGCCAACTCATGCAAACGGCACTACAAATAATATGGAACAGATTAGAGAATACATTTGTAACTTAATAAACATAAATCATATATTGGAAAACAAAAACCAAAAGATACAAAATTGTAGAACTTTTAAGTTTAAATATGCCAGTCATTTCTGTTAGGCATAGTTCTGTTTGTGAAGGAGCTCCAGCTTATTAACGACCCAAGCCAAGTGTCCATAATCTGGAAGGTTTTATATCAGAAGGAATAAAAATGACAGAATGGGGAAAGGCTTGAAGAACTTGCTCACTTGGCAAGTTAGATAAGAAGAAATGGGCTATGTATATACATGTAGGAGGAGGAGGTCATCAGTTAAGGGGAAGAAAGGAGGGCAGTTTTTAGCAAGCCTCTAAGGCTGTAAGGTTGGGCACAGAATGTCTCTGACTAGTCAAATGCTCTAGGTACTTAGGAGGTATTATCCTCCACCTTCAGTATTTCTCCTATATCATTGAATTTAATATAAAGGAATACTGCATACAAGAAGTTCCACTAGACATTTTAAATATGTATCATAAATCAAAATGGAAAACAAAGAAAAAATATAATGAAGCATTCTGGCCAAGCACATCATTATAAATTGGAGGAAAATTAAAGTTCATATATAGATAGGTTGAAGGAAAACAAATTATTGAAACGTAGATGAAAATTTGATGGGAAAGCTATATCACACCACACTCAGACAACTAGATAGAACGTGAAAGGAATTGGAATTGAAATTGAAAAGTGTATTTACTAACACAATTCACCCTATAAATTATTCTCTCCACATTTCATACATAGTAAAAAAAAAAAAAAAGAGTTAAGAATTTAGGATATCTCTAAATTACATAACAATCCTTTTAAACAATTTCATCTTATAAAAAGTTATTTCTGAATTTAATTATCAGAATTTTCTTCCGAGATATTTTTATTGTTTTATCTTAAATAATTATTTTTCTTATTATTCCATTCCCAACAGGATAGCAGACTATACTCCCATGGTTCAATTTGCATTCTACCAACTTTCTTTAGCTCCTTACATGCATGCCAAACACAGGCTAAATGCTGCCTATGCACAAATAATTTTCAGGCAATGAATACAAATGCACTTCATAAATAAGGTACATTTTACCTACTCAACTATAACAGAAATAACAAAATTGTAACGATATTACCAAGGAATGCCTAGGTGTGAGAGACTAGGTCAGCAACTCAGTAGGAGACTGACCTAAAGATAGAAGTACAGAACAGACAAAAGCAACCATGCAATATTGAAAGTTCAAGATTGCATAGATTACCTTGATCCCGAGATTCCTGTGCCAAAACTGACAATCAGCAGCACCTCCAGCCATAGTCCCAAGCATGTAGGGATTGATTTCAATAATCTTCTTTACAGACTGCGATGCTGGAAATAGCCAATACTCAATATTCAAGAACTTACGCTACCGCAAATAGATAAAGCCCATCATTTAATTAGAAGCAAGTAACACAAAATCTCTGTCACAGACAAAGGAACAAGGAACAGTGAAAATGCAATTAGATTTAACAAACACTCACATATGTATCCTCCCATGCTAGCTCGAGAATCAGCAGCTACCATGACGCCCTCCTTAAAGATAAAAGCAAGAGTCGTAGTACCCTTCGCCGGCTTCACCATCTGAATAGCCTCTTTCAAGAACCCATCGAACTATCACCAACAAACACATACCAGTACAAAAACACTTCAGTTAAAACCATCAACCTTCTCTATTACAAACTAAACCCTAGCTAACTTTTAATTTTCACTCCCCAACAATTTCAGAAACAAATTTTCAACCCAAATTTTCCCCTTCGAACAGTTTCATAACCTGAGAGTACTCACATCATTGGAATTCGGAAGGTCGAAGGATGGAGCGGCAGAGAGTTCTCCAACTACGTCGCATTGAGGTGCAATCAGTGAGGGAAACGATTCGAGACCAGTGGTATCGAGCTTCATGATGGAAATTATTGACCTAATTGAAAACAAACCTTAAACCTTAAACTCAAGAGAAAATAATTAAATAAATAGATGGAAATATAAAATGGGGAGAAATTAAAAGAAAAAGATTGCAAATTTTAAGAACATTTCACACCGTTTCTGGGAGAAGAAGCAATTGAAGTGTCAGATCTCAATCGTTCAGTTTGAAGCAATGGGGGAAAGAGTCGAAAAAAGACTGTTTTTCAGCATTGTGTTGTCTTGCGGAAAAAGGCAAGACTTATTTGGGCCTTTACGGCCCATATGAACATTCTCCTTTTCTTAATGGTCATTATTTCAATTTTTACTTTTGACCCCTCCATTTATCTGAGAAAAAAAATACAGTATAGAAAAACATTATCAAATTAAAAATTATTATACAATAAAATTATTGATTTTTAAAATAAATATCAAAGAAATAAAAATAATAGTGCTTGTGATTAATTAAAAATATAAAAAGCCATTTACAATTGATTGCTATTGTACTTTTTGTTTCCTTTTAAAACATTTGGTTTTATATTGTAATTTTTTTTTTCGATTTTTCTCCCACTGAATTACTAGAATGGCTGGCACATGTTTATAGCGCAAAACAGACACACAAGAATGTACAGCAGTTACTAAAATTTCTAACAGGACTGTTTGTTATGAAAGAAATAACGAATTTTAATATCAGGAATGTAAATGTTTATTATTTTTTATTTCATTATGTTTTTTTACTGTTCAAATAATGATTATCTATTTCGTTCTATTATATTTTCTCTCGTGTTATTTCATTCAGCCATTGATTTATTATGATGTTTGGTTGTTCAACTGAATGTATAAAATATTTAATACAAGTTTAAAAAAATGAATTTTAGTAAAAATTACGTAAAATTAAATTGCAACAGATAGAGAAATAGCCCGTACCACTCTTTTAATCCTAACGGATGGAAAGAGAGAAATCTAATTTCGTGTAGCTAAAACATCAATTTACTCTTACCTTACATATTTTTATCAGCAATATAAAATTTAATACATATTTATTTTCTTCCCTTCTACTTTTCATAAAGCAATTAAGAAAAAAGAAACCTTAATAACTTTTTCTCCTATAAAACAACTTAACATCTCCTCTAGTTTTTTTGTACCTTTTTCTCCCACTTTCTTCTCTAATTGACACTAATCAAACTTCAAAGGGCACCCATCATAATTGCTTATTTTGAATTACCCTGCACCTTCATCAAAGGCCAAATCCTTCATTTTCACCGTCACATTTCTGCCAAATTTAGTTGGTAGTATTTTGATCTCAAACTCTTGCCAAGAAAGAACCCTTCCAACTTGAAGTCTACAGGTGCAATGTGGACAACAGCACCTTTATATTACTCGGCCTTCACCAAAATCAACCAGAATCAATGAAAGCCACCCTATTTAGTTCGACAGGGTAGGTTTAAATGTCATCAATGATTCAATTCTCGCCACAGCAGATCTGGTTTTTGGTAGAACCATGGCACTAAAAACTTCTAAACGAAACAACACCTTGTTTTTTTAAAATATGTTTCGAATCCTTTTTACACAATTTCTCCTTTTATTATAATTTCTTTTACTATGTACATATGAAAGTGACGAAGATCTTATTGAATCATTTAAACGAAGATCTTGTTGATTTGATGAAGTCAAAATGAAGGTCAAAGGTCACTTAGATAAAAGGGTAGAGTAATTAGTGAATCTGCATCTTTACTTAGGTATAATCATTCTTATCTCTCTGCTGCATGAGGTTTCTTCATTTAAAAGATTTTGCAAATGCTTCTAAAACGTGTTTAAACTGTTAAAAACAAAGTATTTTGTTAAAAGGTTTTTAAGTAATTGTTTTAAGCGATATTATATGAACTTTATCAGTTAAAATGTTCTTAACACCTTTGTAACAGGTTTTTAATTGATATGTTTTCGAAATAATCGATTGTTTTTATTAGAAGGGTTTTTGAAAACCTTCTGCCAGTATTTTAACTGATATAGAATTGAAATAATCGATTAAAATGACTTATAATATTTTGAAAAGTGTTCTGGCAGAATTTTAATTGATACAAACTCGAAATAATCGATTAAAATAACTTGAAGTGTTTTGAAAGTTGTTCGTCGAGTATTTTAATCGATACAAATGCGAAATAATCGACTAAAACAACTAAGAGATTTTTCCAGAATGTTTTAATCGATTAAAACAAGTATGTTATCGGTTAAAATAACTTAGAAAGTTTTATGAAATCTTTTGGCAGAATTCTAATCGATTAAAATGCGATTCAATCGTTTTAAATAACTAAGAGGACTTTTTCCAAAGTATTTTAATCGATTAAAATAGATTGTTATTAGTTAAAATCACTTAGAAAGTTTTATGAAAACTTTTGGCAGTATTTTAATCGATTAAAAGGCGAAACAATCGATTAAAACAATTTGAAGGATTTTTTACAAAGCGTTTTAATTGATATAAACGTTGTCGTATTAGTTAAAACAAATATGGAAAATGATCAAGAACATTTTAACAGATTAAAAGAAGTTTTAACAGATTAAAACAAGACTTTTAACAGATTAAAAGATTATTTTAACAGATTAAATAAACCAGCAGTTTGGAAAATCTTCTATATAAACAGAATTGCTTGAACATTTTAAAACACATCTTTTGGCAATTAATCAAGCAATCATAAGTGCTACTTTCAAGAGAGAATCGCGCAAGTTTTGTGAAGTTCTTAGAAGTTCTTTCTTGAGGCAATTTTTGCATTCTTTTGGTGAAGAAACTTATTCTGCAGAGCTGCATAAACCTGGTTTGGGTGTTCTAGTTTCTTCTCCTTGTTTCTTTACTTTTCTTTTCTGTATTGTGGGTGCCTGGAAGTGTGGGCACTGGTTTCTGTGGCTGGAATTTGGTTGTAGGGTTGTTCAAGAACTGGAAATTGGTTCTTAGTGAAGGCTTAGGTGCAAGAACTGGAATTTTGGTTCTTGTGGTAGATTGAGTGGGTGATTGAAGTTGTAATCTGTAAAACGTTCAATCTAGTGGAACCCAGCTGAAATTTGGCTAGAAAACTAGACGTAGCCCTGGGATTGGGTGAACCAGTATAAATCTTGGTTGTATCTTTCTAAACCTTTCTTTCTTTAATTCTGCCACTGCCTTTACTTTGATTGTTTGTTTTGTTTGATTTAAGAATTGGTCAGAATTATTAATCTTTGAAATAGATAATCTGTAATTTGCGAAAATCTTTCAAAGATCAATTCACCCCCCCTCTTGATCTCAGCCTATTTTTCTAACAATTGGTATCAAGAGCAAGGGTCTTGAAAAATACTCAAGACTTTCGGTCCAAATCTTTCATGGCTGAAAACAAATTACCTTTTTCTGAGGGAGCTTCTATTAATAGACCTCCACTATTTTGTGGTACAGATCAATCATTTTGGAAGATAAGAATGAAGATCTTTATTGAATCTGTTGGTATAAATATTTGGAATATTATTGAACAGGGAACTTATGTTTTTAACAGAGAATTGTCTAGTTTAAATGATTGTGAAAAGAAACTAATCCAAGATGATTGTACTGCTAAGAATATCATCACATATGCACTTAACAAAAATGATTTTTTCAGGATATCTCATTGTCAAACTGCTGCACAGATGTGGAAAACTCTTGAAATGGCTTATGAAGAAACAACAGAGATATGTTTGATGGTCAATTCGGATTCTCCCATGACCAGTGTAAGTTCTGACTCAACAACTACTATGAATTACAGTTCATTACAAGATGCTTTTTATAAAATGCATGCAGTAGCTAAGAAATTAGAAATTGAAAACAAAAGATTAAAAAACATGAATAGTTTATTAGAAAACAAAATCACTCTTCTTGAAAAGAAAATTGTTGATGAAGAAACTAAGAATGAAAATCTGGAAATAGGTAATAATTCTGATTGCATGTGTAATGATAAAGATTGTAAAAATTGTCCTGAGTTACAAAAGAAATTAACATATTTAATAAAAACTGCATCTAAACTTGCACAAGGAAAAACCAATCTTGATATGATACTTGATTCTCAAAATTGGTTATTAATCGTGGTGGTATTGGTTTTACACCTCTTGTTGGAAAGAAAACTAGAGCATTTAAAAACTATTTTGCATATAGTAAATCTGTTTTGTCTCCATTTATTACGTGCTTCTATTGTATGAAAAGAGGTCATTCTGTTAAATTTTGTAGAATCAAGAAGTATGCTATTCCTAGAGATAGAATGAAGTGGATTCCCAAAAATTCATTTCAAATAACCTGATTGGACCCAATGATTATATAAAGGGTACCAGAAATATGTTAAATCTGTTTTGCAGGAACAAAATCTGGAAGTTTTGTGGTACTCTATCAGCAAAATTCGATTCTGGATTTATGGCTTGTGTATTTTAATTGATATAAAAATGTTTTAATCGATTAAATTCACTTACAGAGAATACCAGAAAGTTGTCCGTACAGTTTTAATCGATTAAAACGAATTAATCGATTAAAATGTTCTCAGGAATTTTAGTTTAGCTATTTTAATTGATTAAAAAGGATTTATATCAGTTAAAACCACTAAGAGGTCAAATTTAATCGATTCTTCTTCGTTTTAATCGATTAAAATTCTGTTATCATTTTATTAAATTCTTCCAGTGCAGAAATAATCGATTCTTTTATGTATTAATCGATTATTTCACTGTTGCATTTTCAAACATAATATTAAAGATCAAATTAATAGGTTAATTTGTTGATTAATCGATTAATTTGTTCTTGAAAATTATTTTAACTACAGCCAATTGAAAATTACTCAGCTAATCAAAGTCAAATTTCCAAGTTTTTGTGTTAATCAAAATCTGCATAATGCATTTCCTATATCCTTGGACCAAGTCAAACACTTATCCAAGAACACTTTAGCTGATGTACCAATGTCCAGAAACCTGCGCTTCTGCCTTCAGTCAAGGGGACATGTGCAATTAAAGCTGTTTCTTTGCAGGTTTTGTCAAATTGGACTTCAATTTATAGAATTTGAAATCCGTAACTCATTATTCTGGACTTGAGTCCATCAGTCTCACTCTTCATTCTCTGGTTCAAATTCCTTCTCTCTTCTCTCTTGTACTCACGTATCAAATTTCCTCTCTAAATTGCACAATAAGATGCTTAGGAGATCAAAGTCATGGAAGAAACATAAAGGAGAATCTTCCTCTACTGCCAATCCTGGTGGTCATCTTGAAAACTGGTTCAGTGGTGATATAGAGAAGATGAATAATTTCATCACTCACTTTAGTCAAAAGCAACTAGTAATTCCCAAATTCATAAGGTTTGCTTGGCTAGATGAAGAAGGTTTCACTTCATTAAGAAGAAAACTGAAGAATAAAAAATTGAAGAATTTTCTGGAATATACTGGTAACATTCAACCAGATCTGGTAAGAGTGTTTTATTCTAATCTCACTGTCAATGGCTCTACATTAAGATCTCAGGTAAAAGGAGTTAATATGATCATTACTCCTGATATATGGGATGAAGTTGCTGGCCTCAAAGATATTGGTGTAAAAGTCTCTAGAGGTAATATTGTAGAATTGCCAGAGTTTAACAAAATTCAATTTTTTCGTACCTATCTCAAAGATCAAGATGATTCAGTAAGATTTTTCAATGCTGGAAAGATGAGGCTTGAATCAAGAATTCTTGCCTTCATTATTGCATGGATGCTTACTCCAAGGGGGAGTAATCATGCTATACTCAATGAGGGTGATTTAGCTCTCGGTATTGCATTGAAAATAGGATTCGTGTTAACTGAGTCTATGTCATTAAAGATCACATGATAAAAGCCAAGAGGCTTGCTGATTATAAATTGCCTTATGCCTTGTTAATCAACAAATTCTTTAGACATTTTGCAGTAGATCTAGAAGGGGAATATGTGGAAACTCCTAAAGCATCTAACGAAATTGATGATTCAACTTTACGAAAAATGGGGTTTATCAAAATTGATGATGAGTGGATCTCTAAGATTGATGCTGGGATGTCTGAAGATGAGGAAGAAGTTGAAGAAGAAGATGAGCAAGGTAAAATTCCTTCCTCTCCAGCTGCTGTTGAAGTTCCTGAGTCCACTGGTGGGGAGACTTCATATGAGAACATGGAGATAATACCCTACCTGGAACAACCTGACCGTGGGACTCCTCTTTCACAATTTGAAAGGTCTATGATTTCTCAAATGGCCATAATGCAGGAAAATCAAAGGAAGCATATGAAAATG